GGTCTTTGTCTGGGGAATGGGATGGAGGCTGAGGGTTTTCACCTGCCAGAGGGCAGGGTTAGATGGGATACTGGGAAGAAATTCCTCCCTGTGAGGGTGGTGAGACCCTGGCACAGGCTGTCCAGAGAAGCTGCAGCTGCTCCATCTCTGGAAGTGTCCAAGGCCAGGTTGGACAGGGCTTGGAGCAACCTGCGATAGTGGAATATGCCCCTGCCCATGGCAGGGGGTGGATCGAGACGACCTTTGAAGTCCCTTCCAACCCAAGCCAACCTGGGATTCTAAAAGTGGGGGAGGTTTGGGGTGGGTGACCTTGGCTGACCCCAGGTGCTCCATCACTCCAGCTTCAGGAAAAGACAGCAAGAGAAAACCTGATGAAAAAGCTCCTGGAGGAGATGGGGTTGGGGGGATGTGAGTCCCTCAGGAACTGCTCCAGGTCCCTTTCCATGGGCTGAGTCCCTCAGGCTGAGGCATTTCGGACACAGAGGCAACACCTACCTCACTGTATTCTTCTCCAGCGCTGCAGGGGAGCCTCTGCTCCGCAGCACCTCCTCACCTGGTGTGCTGCTCAAGGAGGAAGGACAACAACAGCAAAAGGGACTTTTTTGCACCAAAATAAAATTAAACTGTGAATGTTACTTTTCTCAAGGATTTTAAGATTTGTAAATCCCATGTTCTGAAATGATATGAGGTGTAGCAGGCAAGACCTAGAGAGTTTAGAGATAAAAGCAGCATTTTTTCATATGTTTTTTATGAAAAATAAAGTATTTTCACTCAGACATGGCAGGTTCTACCTGCTGCTGCAGGGTTTGGGTAGGGAATTTGGGGACATCCAGCAGATCCCAACACCTCATTTTTCCTGAAGTGAGGATTCTGAAATGGCAAAGGAAAAGGGTCAGGAAAGTTTAGAAGCTGAGGAAAACTACCCAAAATGTGGTTGCTGAGGCTCTTGCCTGTGTTTTGGGCAGTGAAAGGGTAGTTGGGGTTGGAAGGGCCTCTGGACATCAACCAAGAAAATGTCCTGGTCTGGTGCAATCTCCTCACCTCAGAATGTTTGGGGTTTGGGAGGTTGTTGTAAGTTGACTGAATAGTAACACTTAGTGTAACCACTGAAGATAGAGACAAGACTCCGAGAACAAAGGGCATTAAAAGCAGGGAACTCCCAGGGGAATGCTCTCTCCCCACAGGCTGGGTAGGGGAGGGGAAGTCATTCAGCCTAGGCTGAGGTAGGCCAGGAGCCCCAGACAGAGAAGGCAGGTGAAAAGAATAAAACCGGGCCAGCCCCTGCAAAACAGATGGGTGGAGAAACACTGAGATATCCCGGGCAGCCCCCGCAGAGAGAGAGAAAAAAAAAGAGAGAAAGCCTCTATCACCTTAAAATTTAGTATCATGTGCCAGCAGTACAATGGCAGAGGAAAAAGAGAAGGTGGAAGGCGGGGGCAAGGTGCCCAGCGGTGGGAGTCCTGGGCAGCCTACTGCAAGATTTCAGCCAGCCTGGGGGGCAGCAGAGCCCGAGACTTTAACCCTTTCTTAGACAAAGGAAACTTTATGAAACATTAATCCTCCTTAATCTGAAGGAGAAGAGAGACAACCTAAAGTGTAAGATGCCAGAAAAAGATGAGAAAGAAATCCTAAGTGAAAAGAGATGATAAAGTAGCCTTTAGCTGAACTCTTTCTTGTACAGCCATAGACTAAACCAATTTTCCTGTAACACAAAGATTACATTTAGACAGATGCAATAGTTTAAGCCAAGAGAGTGACCTGCTGAAGTAACACCGTATGCAAGACTGAAGCAAACAGAGAAAGATGAAGAAAATATAGTAGTGCCCCCGGTCTTCAGGGAAGAAGATCGCTGTTCTCAAAACCCTTGGCTCCAGGGGAGCAGAAAATAGGGAGGACTGTTGTCCTAAATTAAGAAAATGTTGGTTTTTAGGACTTAGCAAAGCATCCTTTAAAAGGATCCTATAAACAGTGTTATTCCATAAACAGTAGTGAGAGCACTGTACATAGAAAGAAGATGTCACAACAGCAATCTTCTTTGGGCGGTGCCATGTGTGACATAGAAACATAAAAGGTTTCAATCGTATTTCCTGTAGAAAACTATAGTACAAGAGAGACTCCTCTCGCCCTTAATGAACTGAGAATTAATTATCTGAAGTAGTAGTAAATTAATTGAGAATCCAAAGTTTTGTCTCACTGTACTTTAGTAGAAATTAGGTGGGAGGAGGAGGAATGTTTTAGAAAGTTTTCATTCTGAATTTTGTGTGTTCCCTTTTGTTACAGTATAAGTTAATAAAGGTTTTTTCTTTATTTCTAAACTTAAACCAGCTCTACTCTATTTCTAATTGCATCTCACAACAGCCATTTAAGAAAAATGTATTTCCATAGGTGCACTAACACTACGCCAGCATCAACCCATGACAGAGGTGAAACCCAATTTGTGTCCCTGATGGAGTTTTCTCCAGGTTTGAGTTTGAAGGAAACAGAACTGGGAGTGTTGCATTGCTCTCAGCTGGTTTTTGTGTCTCTCAGCCCTGCGGGATGTGGCAGGACAGGTGAAGTTCCTCCCTGCCCATCTCTCCCACCTTCTGAGTCCTTCTGAAGGGCTACCAAGGGAGCCCAGACCCACTTCACTCCCCTTATCCATCCAAGAACTGTGCTGTCATGGAAGGCAATTAGATCCGTTCTGTGGTGTAATTTTATGGAGTCCAGTGGGGAACCTTCTTCCTGCCTTCCTCCTGGTCTATCTCATGCGCCTCTTCCTGCTTTATTCTCTGTTGCTCTGTCCTACTCCCTGTGCTGTGAGTGTCAGGAGGGGGCGGGGAGGAAGATGGCAGGAGACAAAGTCCACTCATCCCAATGATCATGTGGCAACAAAGAGCTTTTATTTCCCATGCCCTTGCTTAAAGCCAGGGACCTCAGATAACGGGAAAGCTGGACAGGACAGAACGCACATCCAACCAATATGATTAATGCAACGTTCTCCGTCTCGTAGAGAGAAGATGGCAGTTTATATACACTTCTATATAGTTTACAGTTTACAAAGGCACTCTGATTGGCAAGCTAACATGGTTTACCTTTGCCTTAAGGTGGTCAGGCTTTTCACACTGCAGCTCTACTCTGATTCATACTCAGATAGCTCATTACTTTGTAGTTACCTGAACATAATTTCTAACGGCGCCACAGCTAATTTCTTACTGCGTCAAAGGCTTCTAGGCCCCATCAAGGCCGCTTATCAGGGACCTAGTCTGAGGGGGTAGCTCAATTCTCACTCCAGACATAAATCATGCCCTATCTCTCTCAGAAATTCTGTAACACTTGCTTATATAGGGCATTTGAGAATCCCGGTCTGGATACTTCCATATGTCAGAACTCTACACCCCTTCAGGTCCTGGCCAGGGAAATGCCTGTAGCCCTGGGAGAGATGTGACTGGGTGAGGCCCCTGCCAGTCAAACCAGGGGCTGGCTGGTTTGCCTATCACAAACCCGCTAATATACGGTAACACTGTGCCGTCATTCATCCCTGTGCCATCCCTGCTCTCTGTATCCCTCTGTCCTGCCCCCTATGCTATCATTCCTCCCTGTAACTGGCAGGACTTTTTTTGCCCCAGTTGTCTGTATGCCATCATCACTTGTGAGTTGCTCCTGCTTTCATCGAATCACAAAATCAGCTTGGTTGGAAGGGACCAGTGGGTCATCTGGTCCAGCCTTCCTGCTCAGGCAGGCTCATCCTGGGGTACATAGCACAGGATTGTGTCCAGACCTACAGTCCCCTGTAGATCCAGATGAGGTTCAGTGTACAAAAACCATGTTGTGGAAGTTCCTACTGAGGAGCCATCACCATATACAAACTAACTGGCAGTGATGTCATGGGAAGGAGAACAAAGACTGGATAATATGGTTACCAGACTCTGGCAATGTGAAGAAAGTGTCTTTTTCACCCTATGGGGCTGCATCTTATCTGTGGAAAAGATCTCCAGTAGCTGAAAGAAGAGCTCCAGCTGATGTTGCTGCTGACCCTCTGGAAGAGATCTCCAGGTCATATGTATACAAGAAGTGAGCAACAAGTACCGTGATCAGAGTTAGAGGGGCCCTGGCTCCAGTCAGGTGTGGGAAAAGGACAGTGGGATCTGTTGGACTGTGTGGACCCATGGCCTGACACAGCAGAGCCACGGGAGCACAAGGCTTTAGTTGACATGAGTGGACAATGTACCCTGATGCCATCATGCAGGGGCAGAATCCATCTCTGTTTCTGGGATGACAGGAGGATCCCAACAGGGACTATACTGGAGGCTGAAGTGCTCCTGACTGGGCATGAGTGGCAGAAAAACGCCATTGTCACTGGCCTAGAGGCTCCGTGTATCCTTGGCATAGATCACCTCAGGAAAGGTATTTCAAAGACCCGAAAAGACACCGCTGGGGTTTGGGAGAGCTGCTGTGGAGAAAGAAGAAATTAAGACAGCTAAATCCCCTGCTTGGTCTTTCAGAGGACCCTTCTGCTGTGGGACTGTTGAGGGTTGAAGAACAGCAGGTACTGATGGCCAGCACAACAGTGTCCCATTGACAACATGGCACCAAGTGGAACTTTAGGATGCTGTCCATGAGCTGATTCATGAACTGGAGAGCTGAGCGTGCTCAGCAAGACTCAATCACCCATCAATAGCCCCACTGGCCCCTGCCTGAGTCCTGTGGAGAGTGGACACTGACAGTGGACTGTCATGGCCTGAATGAAGTCCCACCATCACTGAGTGCTGCCATGCTGGACGTGTTGGAACTTCAGTATGAGCTGGAGTCCAAGGCAGCAAAGTGGTGCTGCCAATAGACATTGCCAGTGCATTCTTCTCCATTCCACTGTCAGCAGATTCCCAGAGCTGGTGTCTCTCTTTGGGCCCTCAGCCCTGAAGCTGTCCCAAATAGTGCCTTGGCCTCCCTGTGGCCCCCAGCCCACAAAGGTTGTCTTGGTGACCATCTTGCTTAGTGCCGCCAGATGCTCCAGAGCGGCCCTCTGGGTCCCTGCTGAGGGGGGAGCAGGAGCTGATGACGGAGCTCTGTGCTCAGTCACATGGGGGGGATGTCCCACTTACAGGGGAGTCTCAGTCTTATGGGGAGGGGGTTTTCCAGTCCAATGATGGGTGCCCCAGTCTCATGGGAGGAGGGGTGTGTATCCCAACCCCATGGGGAAAGTCTCAGTTCCAGGATGGTGAATCAGTTACATGTGAGGGTCTCAAGGCCATTGACTGGGGGGTGGGGGCAGATCTCAATCCCATACAGAGGGGTCCGGATCCCTGGGTGGGGACTCATTCCATGAAGGGTTATAATGTCCTCTGTCCCACTGGCAGGTTCCCAGAAATTAAGTAGAGGAAGGATGCTCTTGCCCCGTCCTGTTTGCCACAGTGTTGGGGTCCCCCCTGTATTCAGGGTCTTTCCCCTCTCTATTTGTTGTCTCCCAGAGGAACACAATGCCACTAAAGTGATGCCCCAGCTGGCCAGGAAGAGTCCAGGCACCTCCTGCCACAGGGCACGGACATAGGGATATGGGCGATAGGGTGGGAACATGGGGGACACACGGGGAAAACTGGGGACACATGGGAGTCATGAGGACATTGTGGGATATGTGGGGGGACAGGGGGGACATGAGGGACACATGAGGGACCCTGGAGACATGTGTGTACATGAGGGGAGCACATGGGGACACAGCATGGCAATGAGGGCACTGTGTCCATGGGGAAGGGCAGTGTTAGAAATGATGCAACTCCTAAAATTTTAACTAACTTTAGTCAGGGGTCTTTGCCCAGGGGGAAGGGAATGGAAGTTTCTTTTCAAGAGACTCTGTTCCCCGGGCAAGGCCTGACGAGCTTGACATCTCAATGGACTGGGACCTGCCAGAGGATGCTCAAGAAAGGAGTGACATTCTGCATCCAAACATCCTTAATGGTGTGTCAGAGACATTTGGTCTGAGAAAAGATCAATAAGAGAATGAAGAATGACAACCTAATGAGCGCTGAAGGCAAAGGGATCAATAACCAATAGGAAACCAGATACAAAGAACTGTGTAACTTGTGGCCAATGAACGTTGAACCAGTTAATTTTTCTGGGTTTTGACTGTGTAAGTATGTGAAAAATCTAGTAAAGAACCATGTGTGATGGAATAGTTTTCTCTGCACAACACAGGCAATGTGTGGATGAAATTATCTCTGTTGCACATTCTGGCCAGAGCAACATCCTGGCCAGAATAAAGTAATGCCTTAATTCTCTTAAACTAGAAATGTTGTTGGACAGTTTTTGTTTTTCCTGCAGTTTTGGTCACAGCAGGACAGTGCCTTCATGTCCTTCCATATCCCCTGTCATGGTTTGACACTGGCACATTGCCAGCGCCCCCATGAAAATACAACCCCCAAATGATTTGCTGTGAGATACGATCAGGAACAGAGCAGACCAGGCCCAAGCTTAATAACAAAGGAGAAACTTCATTAAACTATTACTACTATAAAAGGAAAAAGAAAGAAAAAAACTAAATTTAAAAAAAAATGAAAACCTTCCAAAAACATTCCTCCTCCCTCCCCCAATTCCAACCAACCACAGTGAGACACAACTTGGACCCCCAGTCAGGTTCCCACCCTTCCGATAATCAATACTCAGTCCACCGAGGGACAGAGGAGTCTCTCCTGTGCCATAGACGCCCCCCAAGAAACACAACTGCTACTTCTTGTGTTTCCATGTCACACATGGCACCGCCCGGTGAAAAAAATTGCCACGGTGACAACTCCGTTCCATGCACAGCACCCTCACCACCGTACATGGATGGACAGACTGCTCATAGGGTAGGGTTTTCTTTTCAAGGATGCTTTGCCAAGTACCAAAGAAAAACAACAGTTCAGTTTCTCATTGTTGGGACCACAGTCCCCCCCATTTTCTTTCTCCCCTGGGGCCGAGGGTCTCAAGAACAGAGATCATCTTCTTTCTGAAGACAGAGGGCATCACCACACCCTCCTCAACTCTTCTCTGTTCACTCCACTCCAGTGTTGGTAGTCACTGAAACAAGTCTCTTGGTTCACCAGACATCCCCCTAAAATACAGTCTCTCTTGGAGAAGACAATTGGTTCAGTCTATGGTTAACAAGAAAAAGTCCAGCCAAAAGCCACTCCATCATCTCCTCCCACCTAGAATTTCTCCTAACATCTTGGGTCCCAGACTGTCTCGCTTCTTCTCTTTCAAATCAAGGAGGAGTAATATTTCACAAAGCTTCATTTCTCAAGGAAGGGTTAAAAGTCTCAGATTCCCCAGACACCTGGCTCTCTGCCCAGATCTCCAGCTCCCATGGCTGGGCACCTTCCTTCGACCCCCAGCTCTTCTCCTTCCCCGCGGTATACTGCTGACTGACGCCGTCTCTGTCTCTTTCTCTCTCTCTCCAGAGAGACTCTGGGGGGAACGCAGACATCCCAGATTTTCCTCCACCCTTCCATCTGAAGGGGGCCCGCCCATTTCCAGTCCCTCCATCCTTCGGCCTTACCTAAGTCAGGCTACAGGACTTCCTCTCCCCCACCCAGACACCTGGCTGGGCAGGGGAGAGTCCTGCACTGCACTCTGACCGGAACAAAAAAAAGCAAGTTCTCTTGGGAATTCTTCTTTTAACTATTTTGTGTCCTCATAGGCATGTCCAGCCTTCAATTGGCAGTCCAAATGCCAATATCCAACCCCAATCACTGACTGGCTTGACCCTCTTCCTTTCGTAAAAATTCCATTCTGTGTCAAACCACAACATCCCCCCGCATCACTTGAGTGTCCTTTTTTCCCCAGATGGATTTTATGGACAGCTGCAACCCTCAACTGACACCCACTGGCCACAGGGAGGCACTAGGAGCGACTGGGACCATGCTGGGAGCAGCGGGGATCATAACTGGGCTAACTAGGAACATACAGGGAACAAATGCTGGAGAGTGACAGTGAGAAAGGGGATTCATTCTGGAGGTAAATAGGAGCAATTGGGACCACACTGGGATCATACTATTATCATAGTGGGAGTGACAAGGATCATACAGGGAATGACCGGTACCATACTGAAGGTGACTGGGAGCCACTGAGACCAGGGCCAGAAGGATCCAGCAAACTTCAGGCCTTGTTGTTGGAACATCCCTGGAACAGATTCCCTGAGGGAACAAATGGCACAGACATGAAACAGGCATTGGGAACAGCCAGGGCTTGGGAAAGGCAGGTATTGCCTAACTCACCTGATCTCCTGCTATGCCCAGGTGGCCCCAGTGGGTGTTGGACATGTGTGGGTGTGTCTGCCTGAAGCTCAGCAAAGCCTTTGGCACTGCCTCCATCTCCCTGCGTCCCCTGGAACACCTGAAGGTCACAGCTGAGACAGGTGCCTCTCGCTGGGAACACCTGGCTGGTGGCCAAGGAGGGGTGGGAATGGGGCCCAGCCAGCTGGGGCTGGGCACTGCTGGGGTTCCTTAGGGCTCAGTGCTGGGGCTGGTCCTGTTCAACACTGGCCCAGGTGGACAACTAGGGGCAACTGGGAGGCTTGATGGGGTCAAATGAGGAGTGTGGTGGCTCACTGGGAAAACTCTGCGTAAACTGGGAGGTCTTGCAATACCCTCAAGAGACCCCAAAGCCCACCTGGGCCACCATGGGTTCACTAATGCCCCAATCTGCTTCTCCCAATGGGTTTCATGAACAGTTGTAATCCTTGACTGACCCCCACTGGGTACTGGGAGGCACAGGAAGCTACTGGGACCATGTTGGGAGCCAACTGAAAATACACTGGGAGCAAATGGAAGATGCCGGAATCATGCTGGGGGTACTGGGACCAGAACTGGGGCAACTAGGATCATACAGGAGGGGACGGCTTGGGACCATGCTGGGTTCATACTGGGAGTGACTGGAACCCCACTGGAGGCAACCAGGATCATACTGGGAGTAACTGGGATCATAGTGGGATCATTCTAGTATGGACATGAATTGACTGGGACCATTGGGGGTGTGACAGGGATCATACTGGGAGTAGTTGTTGTGATTTTATGATTGGCTTTTTGCAAATGTTCCAATGAATATTATATGTGTAATGTTAGAAAGTTATGCTGTATTAGTTCTCTTAAGTAGTGCGTTAAAGGTAGTTTTAGGTTACAACATAATGTTAAAATAGAAACTCTGAGGTGTAGGATTTTTTTACTAGCTCAAGCAGGAGATGAGATAATCAAGAAACTCTTCGCACAGAGATGACAGTGACTTGGGGCCCATAAAGAGTTACTGTCTCCTTGTCAGAAAAGACATTCTTCCTCCTTCTCTCCATCTTTATGGAACCAGCAGGATTAAGGGGAAGAAGCTGACAAAACCCAGAAAAGTTCTTAATTTGCAAGGAATTTATGCATCATGTATGAGATATATGAATATGCAACAGGTTATGCTTTTACAGTTATTCCTTTGTTCACAAGGCATGCTTTTTGTGACTTAGTGTCCAAGAACATCCGGACACGTCCATAATTCTTTGCTTTTTATTGTCTTGTAATTGTCCTAACTCTAAATTTTATTACACTAATTGTATTACTATATTTGTAATAATTTTATTATTATTAAACTTTTAAAATTTTAAAAACCAAGTGATTGGCGTTTTTCACAGTTGTGATCATACTGGACTCACACTGGGAGTGACTGGAAAGCACTAGAATCATATTGCAGGGGACTGCAATCGTACTGGGATTCTTCTGGGAGTAACTGGAGCTACGCAGATGACCGGGAGCCACACTAGGAGTGACGGAGATCACACTGGGACGGTAACAGAGATTACCCTGGGAGCACCGAGGCGTGGGGTGCCCGGGCCGGGGTCATGCAAATTTATGCTAATGACCCCAGCAGCTGCGGCACCATCGAGTCGCGGAGGCCGGCGGCGCAGAGCGGTCGCGCGCCCGATTGACGCGCGGAGGGAAGTGACGTCACGAGCAGCGCCGCGGCGGCGCGAGATTTGAACAGGGCGGCTGCCGCGGGAGGCTCGAGCGGGGCGGCGGCGGCGGCGGGAGGTTGGAA